ATGATTCACAGCATACAAGGATTTCAATCCAGAGCAAATAAAGATAGCTATATTTTCTTTTAGAACCATGAATCCAGAGCCATGGTCTTAGCCATTTTGTATCTACTATTCTAACACTGAACTTAACAATTCTGTAAAAGTGGTATAAGGCAACATCTGGCAGACAGGGGATTGATCATGCTTGAAAAACTGTTAATGCCTAGTTGCCTGATACTAGATGAAGTAGATAGAAAGAAACACCTGTGGGATTCAGGGTCACTTTTTGATGGGAGTGAATAATTGTAGTAAAAAGCACAGAGGGGGCAGCATATGCTATCAGTGTTCAAGACTGTGATTGCTGAGTTCTAGTCTTGCCTCTCTACTAACTCCCTGCATAACCTTGGTTAAGTTATGCCCATCTCTGTGCCCCCATTTTCCACTATGTACATCAAACAACAATATATATATTTCCCTACCTCACAGGGATGTTGTGAGGCTCAAATAAATGTTATAAAGTGTTTCAAGATACTCAGATTCAGCTGTGTTTCTGGTCAGCTGTTGTGAGGTATGGTTTCTGTTCCTTGACTGGGCAAGTACTCCCAGTGCTTGTTTTCTCACAAATAACCCTATTGAATGATTGCAAACATGTCAAACATTTCCTTGAAACAAATTACAGGAAAAACAAGCACACAAACTCAAACAAAACAGAGGTGGGTTGAGGGAATCATGATTTAAGAGTCAAGGGCGGGTAGGTGCTTATAACTATTATGATTTTATTTTCTATGTTTTGTGACTAAACAACTAGGCACCTGCTTTCCATACAGGGGGCTGCTAAACAGTGTTCCATTTAATACAAACCATTCCTGAGGAGATGGACACCCAGCCAACCACACACACACACACACACACACACACACTGTAACCTCTTGTGGGGAACTGGTTTGTTTTGTCTGACTTTGCTGATGCCTCTTAATCTCAAGATCTTGTTCAAATAGCAAATGTACTTTTTCCTTGTTTCTGGACAAACAAAGCAGTTTACAAAGGCCACTCTTTTACCCAAAACTCCATTGGTTTCTGCCAGTGTTAGGGCTGCAGCATCTGACCAACAATCCTTCCATTTGTAAGCAGGGATACTACTACTTATTGACTTGATTTCCAAGTAAGGCAATAAGTATCAGAAAATGTTAAGGCCAGTTTGAATGCATTATCATCATGGAAGCAAGGTGGCAGGGAGCTGTACTAACCCAGGAGAAATTAAAGAGGCTTAATCTATCCCTACTAAGAAAAAAGATTGTGGAAGTTGCACCATCATTCCTTTGGTTGTAATCTGCTACTATTAGCCTGGCTGTGGTTGGAAGGCCAGGAGAAGGGGGGGAAGTCTCCGTGCTCAAGAGAACATTAGATTTGCAACTGGCTCTTTCACCAGGAACAAGGGCTCATCATCCCTCCTGCCTGCCCACCTGAAGAAAAGCACCTGCTGCAGCGAATCAATGCTCATCAAAGATTTGCATATGAAAAGCACTGTTATTGCTCCTTTGCTGCTATTTTTGGTGGTAATCAGAAAATGCATGCCAGTATGTTGCAAAGGTGATCATAACTGACTGGTTGATACTGAGCAAGTGAGGAATCCTGTAAAACTACTGCTATCACTAATGGTCCAGAAGCATGTGGATGCATGATGTGAAGAACCTTTTAATGGTTTGGCTTATGCTGGCCAGGTGAGGAATCCCTTATCACTTCTACTAGCAGTGAAAACAGGGGGAAGCATGGGTGTGCATTGCTAAGGATATGATATCCATTTGGTTCAGGATGACTGGGAAACTCACCCCCCCCCCTGTTTTTGAGTTGCATGCATATTTTAATTATCACTGGCATGGTGTAGGACTCTACAGTGGTTTTCATTTAAAAAAAAAAGCATTGTATGCCTGAGGTTATCACACAGTAGTATCTGAGATGCCACAGTCAATTGCTGCTCTAGATCTAAGAGGTAAAAACGTTGGTGTCTGAAATATAACTGTGTGTTAACCTGACAAATGCTACCTTTAAATGGAAAATCCAAGATGCCATCAGTGGCAAAAAGAAAGGCAACAATCTGATGGAAGTTTATAAACTGCTCTAAGTTTAACTCTTTGCATTAGAAGTCACTAGTCATTCTAAATGAATTAATATGCATAGGCACCTCACCATTGATGCTACACTCAGGGAACTTTCCTGCATCCCATGAATAACACACTAATGAAAGCTCTTCTGTTGAGTTAACCGTGCCAGGAAGATCACAAGTTTCAATGTCAGTTTTCCTTTTAGCCGGTTTCTTAAATTATAGTCAAAAGAACTGAGCTGTGATCAAGCTATATTCACCTCATGCATAGTTCTGCTTCACCAGCAAAATGCAGGGAGGCAGAGAGAGCCAAGAAATGACTGAGAGCAAGTGATAGAGGAAGGGAGAAAGATGGGAAATATAAGAAAGGCTTATTATTGGAAGGTAACCTCTGCCATATGAAGACCAAGTTGTGTCTCCATTCTCAGTGAGTCCTCTTTTTGACCCTTCTGAGATTAGGAGGCTAATCAACAGTCCTAAAAGTCCATTACTAAAATGTGATGAAGTAGGTTGTTACCCATGGAAGCCTATGCCTCTATAAACCAGTTAGTATCTAAGGTGATACCCTTCCTTGCCTACTGCCTGACTTCAGACTAACACAGCTAACCAACTCTGGACCTTAAAAATGTTAGTTTCTCATGACAGGAAGGTCACATGTACCAGTTCCAACATCGTCTGAAGTTCTGAATTGTAAATGAAAAAAGTCAATCCCAAGTGGAGACAGCCTGGTTATAAACATAACCTTAGGCTAACATTTACAGTAAGTAATGACTCAGATTTAAATTAATTCACTTAAATGATACTTGTGTACTTAAGTAACTGGCTGCCTGTAATGGATAGTAATATCTTTGCATTTATCCAAGGTTTCCATAAGAAAAAAAGAATGCAATAACACAAAAATCCCATTTGGATTAGATCACACTGCCATAGATAGTAAAATAATTATTGTGTACTTGACCGTGAACAATTGTTTATTTTCTATTACAGAAGCACAGGATATTCCACTCCCTTCTCATTAGAGCTGTGGCAGAGAGGGACTTGCACAAAAATGTTCTGACTACACCCTTCAGTAACTAGTGCCAGGCAAGTTTGTGCAATTACTATACATGAATCTGACAAGAGAAAGTTACATTTAAAGTGCACTGCATTCATCAGTAACATCTGTCATTTTTTTCAAGTTCTGGTACCTTGGGTATCGTCTTTAGAACCTAGAGAGAAAAAGGTTTTAAAATGTTTAAACTGTTATAGTCCTGCTTCTCTGCTACTTTCAAAACATGCTTATCTGATTATCAAATAAACATATATATTATAGCCAAGTGGCTCATGCAAAAAATGAATTTTTAAAAATGCCATACATTTTTGAAGGAAAAGCAATGTCTTTTGCCACTCAGCATATTTTGTTTGAGATACAGGAACATGGGATAATAATCCATCTTTCTGTAAAACAAAATGTAATTTAATGCCACCATGTGACTTACATTGTGGGAAATTTAATTCAAAGGAGCATAAAAGACAACAAATTAGATTGCACAATAGCGAATCTGTTGGGTCTGATTGGAAAAAAGTTTAATTGGAAATGCCAAATTTTTTTTTTTTACATAGTTTCTTTCCATAACTTTACTATGTGGGACTGGACAGGCAGTACAGGTGGCCACCTAAGGTAGCAAGTTGTAGGTGGTGGCAAAAATGGTGTTCTGGGCAGGCAACACCACATGTTCTCAGTCAGGCACGAGCAAGGCATGACATCAATGGTGGCAAAAATCCTTGTATTAGCCTTGTTGCTATGACAGATGTTTAATACGCTACACATGGGGTCATATAGGAGTGGATAACAGGTTGGAAGATCTTATAAGGGCCTTTAACTCATACAGAGTCCAAAAAAACTGGTATTTTAATTCTTCTTTAGCACAAATAAAATGAAGCCAACACAAACTTTATGAACAGGTGCAATACTGCAAATAGAAAATGTATAAATATTTACATTCCAGTATTCAAGATATAGCCTACAGATTTTTTTTCATCTCTAGAAACAGCAGCTAGATCTACAGGCACAGGGTCAATTTTCCCTTCAGAGAGGAATTCTCTGAGATCTGCAGGAGCTATGTTTTCTTTTTTCTCTTGTGTTCACTGCCCTGATGTACCATTGCCTTTCTCTGCACCCTACAGTCTAAAATTAATTTGAAAAACTTGAATTGCTGGATTCTGAGCTTGCATTTCAATTGTACAGACAGACTATCAATACATAAGGAATGCAATTTCCCACTCTTACATGCATTTTTTTTTCTGTGGCTTGAGTTTGAAGCCAGAATGAGATACAGTACTTGAAACCACAATGGGATTGGTAATATGACAAAAATTTTACATATCATTTAGCAAGGCATGGTTTGGAAGCTATCTTTTTTTAGGTTTGTGGCTCTATTGCTTTGGAAACAGTTACAGATAATATTACAAGTGTCTCAGTTTTCCTCCTGAACACAAAGGCTAGAGACAAAAGTTACACATAGAATCATAGAAGTAGAGTCGGAAGGGACCTTGCAGATCTTCAGGTCCAACCCCCTGCCTGGGCAGGAAGAAAACTGGGCTCAAATGACCCCAGCCAGGTAGGCATCAAGCTGCCTCTTAAAGACCCCCAGGGTAGGAGCCAGCACCACCTCCCTTGAAAGTTGGTTCCAGATCCTAGCTGCCCTAACTGTGAAGTAGTTCTTATGGATGTCTAATCTGAACCTACTCTCCAACAACTTGTGGCCATTATTCCTTGTTATCCCGGGGGGTGCTAGGGGAAACAAGGTCTCCCCCAAACCCTTCTGGTCCTCCCTAGTGAGTTTATAGACGGTCACTAGGTCCCTCCTCAGCC